AGGGGAGGCCGGCCGGGCCGCGCTGACCTCCCGGCGCTGCCTTAATTCTCGCTTTCTGCCTCCCGCCGCCGGCACGAACGGAAGAGCTGTCCCTCGTCGGCGGCCTCCTGCTCCCGGAGCTCCCCTCGTCTTCGTCCTTTTATCCTGTTTCTCGCCGGTGTCAGTTCAACTACGGAGGACTGTCTCACGCTGTGCAATACATACTTTTGGGCTGGAGAAGCTCCATAAATATTTATCCGCTTCTGGAAATTGCATCCCCGCTTCGCACAGCGCTGTGGCAACTTTCTGACACGACACACGCTGCTGTGCTGCGCAGTTTTGTTCCACTGGAGAGACTAAAAATAAGCGCTAAACCGCTATGCTAGATTTGCATCCCTGTCAGATTTTTGAGTATTTCTCCAGTTGGTAACACGTCAATGGCCTAGTTCACAACTAGAATTTTTCTATGCAAGGAGAATTAGATGTCGTTTCCTCTGGAAACCTCCTGAAGCAAAAGAAGTCACTGGTATATAGGGTTATTTTGTCTGGGCAAAATAACTAGTACGTCTTGGTACCAGCAACAAACAGCCCAATTTTCCCAGCAGGTACGAGGATCAGGCAAGGCAACCAGACCCAATTCCATCTGTAAGAGCCAGGGAGACCAATTCCGACTCAGGTTTCTGCTCTGCAGTTTTAATCCCTGTTACAAAGCCAGTCCTCAACAATTCAAGGTGTTGCAGCACACCGCTTCTGCAGCGCACCTGAGGCTAACTCCTCACTGAAAAGGAACTGGGGGCAAGAGATTACAGGCAAATACTCTCTGTGGCAATGTAACGCGGCTAAGGCAGGCCCAGAAGAAATCATGCAACAGGGAGACAAGCCGTCACCGCAGAGGCGCTGCCGTATCTTGCATCTTGGCAGCATCAATTAGCCTGCACACAGCTTCATAGCGCCGCTGCAGTGTTGTTTCTGGCAGTCAAGCTCTGTAGTTTCGAGCTGGCTCAGGTATTTGTACACTGCAGACAGGAATGCAGATGTGTGCAGAGATTCACGACAGCGACAAGAAAGTGCCAATGGACTTTTTATTTGCTTTGTCAGGAGCAGGACTGTTATGGGTCTCTAGATGAGATTGCAAGCAGGATAAACCAAACCTGTTAAGTAATTCAGAAAAACCCTGTTTGCATGCTTAGTGTTCTACTGATTGCTCAGTCTGAGAGTATGACCAATTTCACTGATGTCAGATTAGCCAGAAACTCGGGGCCTATCAGATGTTCCTCTCCTTCTCTCTGACAAACATTGCCATTAAAATTGTCTGAGCATACAATCATTTACAGTCACTGCAGCAGCCTTGGGAATTGCTGATGTCCAAGTCTTTCCAATACTCTGCCTGTGGATCACATCTGATTTTTTACGAGACAAAAACTATTTGTACTAACTCAAGGATCTGAGGGTTTTGTGTGAAACTGAACGGTCTGTGAGAAATGTTATAGATGCTTCTAGCCTTAATTTCTATGAAACCCACCATTTCAATAAATGCCTCCTAAACGCTTTCTTTAGTCCCAAAGTTACCAATATTCTGCAAGAAATTCAGCTTTCCTTATTTAAAATTATTATCTCAGAAGAAAAAACAACAGTCTTGCCAAGAAATGAAGATTTAAGATTTACATACACTGATTTTATCTTCATTACAAAGAAGAATCCTGGACCATTTCACATTTCCTGTAAAAATAATGTACTAATGCACGCTTAAAATGCTGCCAGACTAGAGTCTTCTGCATGTTGTTTGAGAGGTGTGTGGGGGGGAGAAGGGGGGGGAGAAGGGTTGCTGTATTTTTAAATGCTGATTTTTAACAATCTGTGAACTTCCTGCCTGCCTGTCTTAGGCTTTAAATGAGCATGAAAAGCATCAACAGCCTAGAACCAGGTTTTCCTTTTTATTGCGGTTTATATAGAAACTGGGGCAAGCTCATGTCTGGTCGTACTTACAGTGGGATTTGCTGACAGGCTAGGTCAGCTGCTGTTAGCCAACTATAGTCAAGTATATGCTGTACTTTAAAATTCAAGATGTGTAACATCTAGCATCAATACAACGGAAACACTCAGAATTTTGAACGAGGTAAGTATTTTCTTGAATTAATTTATTGAATGAAAGCAGTGCTCTCTACTTCCCTGTAAACAAAGTATTTGATTTAGTACATGCTTATTCATAAAAACATCTAAAATGATTTTATAATGTGAGCTGTGTAATGTTTAAACTAAAAACACGCTATCCAAACAATGAGAAGCCTATCATGTAGACTGTACAAACAAAATAGATGTTCGTTCACTATTTTAATCAGATCCTGAACTCTCTGAAGTATCGAGATTCAAAACTTCCTTAATTTTGTCATAAAGAACTAAGACCAAGGCTCCTCCTGTTCCACGAAGGATGTTGGAGAATGCTCCATGAAAAAAAGCATTAAGCCCCTCTCGTTGGTATATTTTCATAAAGCAGTCAATGGTTCCTCTGTATTGACGTTCAGTCTCCCCACTCTGCATACAAATTTAATAAAGACAAATCATTACTGCACTGCACTGAGACAGTAACTTAGATGCTTAGAACAATTTGTCTTTCTTTGGTAAAGAACGCTAAAGAATGTTTTCCTCATGTTTCACCTACTGCAAAGGCGAGATCATTTAACTAATAAATATTTATCTGATGTAATGCTCTGTTAGCTGGTTCCAATAGCTAAATTTAGAAAGGCTGTGATCCTTCTCGTGATGCTTCTTTTAAGCTTTACTGGGCAAGTAGAAGGCTTAGGAGTTAAATGAGGTCACTCCAGTCCTAAGAGCGCTCTGAAGTGTTTCAGTGCTTTGAAAACTTTTACAGCTCATTTTTTCCCCCTCTTTTTAGTAGCACTGAAAAAACTTTATAGCAAGTAGATTTCAGTTCATTAGTAATCAACAGAGTCCATCCAGCAGCTATCTGTTTTCTAAGAAGAGTATTAAAAAATGTTAGGGTCCTGACTAGTACGATAATGTGAAAACACAAAAAGTTATTATGCAGTTATTACGCAACCTACCTTGTTTCTGAGCATTAATTTGCTGGACAAATTAAAGCAAAGCAAAAGGGAAGACTTGTTAGAGACCTCAGCATCATGTTCACCAGAATCTGGCGCAAGTGCTTACAGGTGAAGTAACAGAAGAAAGGTACGCAGTGAAAGTTCGCATGTATAGCAACAGTCATATGCACGCAAGTCAGTGCTAAGTACTTAATTCTGCCTTTTCATTTCTTTCCCATGAGCAGTATGAAAGTCATAACAACTCTTAATTAAGTTTTGAAAACTTCAACAGTGGAGTAAAAACAGCCCAGAAGAATGCTGTACACCAGAGCACTTGGAAAATACTATTGCCCATTGTGGGACTCAGCATACAGCTAACCTCTCAAATACTCTGAGTAACATCACAGTTCTGACAAAGCATTTTTTTCTGGACATGCTTGCTGAACTGTCAAACAATTTCTGTTTTGGAACTGCAGTCTCTTCAGGGTTTGAGTACTGCATTAAGAACGGATACCATTTTTGTCTTCACTAACAAAAAACAAGTACATTTTTTCAAAAAGATTAACCCCAAATTGCTATCTTTGTTGCTGTTACTGGAAACAAGATGCTGTAATATTTTGCTTTATTATTGTGGATTTGACCTAAATTAGCTCCATCTTTAGTCAGACCCAGCCATGTTTTGTCCTCACTGAGTTTTTATAGTCCGAAAAGGATGTCAAGACAGCTAACTCTGTAAATGCGTGTCTGCTTTTGCACTCGAGTCAGAGCAGCATGTTACATTAGTGGTGCTAGAACAGGATGCGATGCTAAATTGCCTCTTAGTAATACCAGCGTCACTGCTTATTGTGTCAGATTCGCACTTCTGTCACTCTCGGGACAGTTCTTACAGAGGGCCTCCTAAGCTGTTAAAAGTTAGCTCTGCTCTGAGAACTTTTATTCAGAAACGTTTATTCACTAAAAATAGACACATCAGGGATTATTAGAGTACACATTTTGTGCGTGTTTTTGTATAGTAGAGCCAGTACGATTTTGTAAGTGAAATTGTATTTCATTTTAATTGGGGACTCACAGACAGAACGATTACCCACAATTTGATTCAAAACCTAACGAAGTCAGCAAGAAATACTTCCACTGATACGGTGCTGTTCTCCTAAAAATTGTGAATATAGATTCTTGGTGTTGCAGGGAGAGCGGCCAAAAAGATTCCACGTGCCTTTAAGGTTGCAGGCTAAGTTTGCCAGAGCAATCTTTTTACTAAGATACTTGAAACATTTGATTTGGAAATAAATGAAAGACAGAGAACTGCTCCCACTGGCAGAGAAATATTTTTCAAATAACTGCAACTCAATTCTCTATGCATGTCCTGCTTTGTGGGTCTTTATCTCACCTTTATAAAGCGTATATGGACTGCTAACTACCGTTAAATTATACTGCAAGCCCTGTACATCCAGTTGGTTTCCTAAATGTTGACATCAAACATTTTGGCAGTATCTAGGTAAGGTTCTAGACTCCATATAATGGCAGAAAAATTAGGTCTACAGAGGAAATTGTGCTTACTTTTACACCCTTATGACGTACTCTACAGTTAGTAAAGCAAAGCTTGAATTTTCTGACGAAAAGGGCATTACATGTTCTGTTATATCTTCTGCTACAAATCAATATATGACGTCACTGTAGTTTTCCTGAATATAATAATTGCAAGAAATACAGCAATGACGAACATTCACATGTAATAAGCATAACATGAAATATAGCTAAAAAGCACTTAAAATATTTTGCTTGGAATCTCCTTGAATACATGCAGATTAAAGGATATTTGGCCACAGATATTAGTGCTTAGCTAACAGAGATCAACTTTTACCCAAAGCAGTAATTGTACCCAAAGTTATCCTGACTGCCAAATATACTTTAAATTGAAGAAGTAAAAGGTGCTATATATTTAATCATGGCTTCTTCTCGGAGCAGAAGAAGTGTCACAGGAAGAAACTGCATGAACACTCTTAATTTCACCACCATAGAAATCATTCCGAACAGTTTCATTTGTACCTGAAGCTGCAAAACATTAACTTATTTCTAAAAAATAAAACAAGGACAGCATGTATAGTATACCTATACACCTACAACATATACACAGGTTTTCTCATTCTCATCTTGTTTCTTTTGTGCTAGTAAAATCATTGTCTTATTTCATATGACTACAATTTATATTTTTCGTAATCTTGATACTAGTCTCTTTCGTAGCGGTAAGTTAACTACCAGAAATACATGCATGCATTCTCTAGTAAGGCCAACCTCAAGAAGCACAAGTACGTATGAACAAAATAGCATTGGCTGTAGGTCTATTACTAATTAAGCAGATAAGGCAGAAGCAAAAGACAGTGTAGTAATATTTAGCATGATAGGAAGAAGTCAGTAGTGAAAATAGCCTTTGTGCACTGCAGGCTTGTAAGACTTCTGTTATTTAGGTCAGCTTACCAGAGGTATGCAGGCATTACATAAGAAGCTAAACATCTCCCGGGATTTTTTGCAACCACCTAAGCAAGTTCTATGCTTACTTTTGCTCCGATTTTCTTTTGACTTCCTGGGATACCAAAAGATAGTCCTGAAATAAAACTTACTGTTTTTTTTTTTTCAAAACTGTCCTCTCTTTTATCGTCTCAGTTGGCGAAATCTCCTCCTCATGGATACAGGGAACAAGCTCAAGAAATTCTGGTTTTTGTTTCTTGTTTGAGGATGATCTTGACAGCTAGAACTTAATCTATTAAATGTACCTAAAACTCTTTTTACCTAGTAAAATTACCTAAGAGCGAGCAACAAGATCCAACAGTAACAGCTAATAACACATTACCGTATCTAGTCAAATGCAGAGAAATAATTCTGAGCTTGTATGGAGCTGTGAAGATTACTGACTCTATTTCAGGCCTGAAGAAGGGCTGTGTGCCACTGAGCCTACTTTTCCAGTTGCAGTAGTTCGGCTAATAAGAGATTTCACTTCTACCCACAAACCTGTCTTACTCCCAATATCTGGCTTCTGGGTAGAAACATTCAGCTTTTCTACAGAAAGCTCTCACCATGGCGGGAACTAAGCACACTCCTGAGATTCCCACAGTACTACAGTTCAGATTTTTCTCCTTTTCTTTCTGGAGATAGTTCCACTTTTTTCTGAACAGACTCTCAAACACCGTAAGGCTATATAGCACTTCAGCTAGCATATGAAATTACAAAATCAGTAACTAGTTTTCAGAAAAGAATTGCAAGTTAGACCATACCTGCATCATCATGCGTCTCCTGACGGTGTCAAACGGATACGACAGTATTCCTGAGAACGTAGTCACAATTTGGGCAATGAAAAAGGAAAAAATGAATGGGGTTTGTTTTGGATTTGGCAATAATCCCTGCAAAATAAAGCAACAAGAGTCTGTGCCAGTTCTTTAAAAAGTATGTCCAACCTGATATCAAATATCATTTGGCTAATTTTTATCGTTAATCCTACTGTAAAATGACTTGGCTCTTCTGGAATATACTCTCTGTTGAGCATAAATAACTGTAAAGACAAAAGCTATAACTAACACTGTTTAAAACATCTTGCACGGATGCATTTTTGTTCATAAGAATTACCTTAATGGTGTCGTAACATCCAAAATAAGAGGCTCGGTACACAACGATTCCCTGTACTGAAACGCCAAAACCCTGGTACAGGCCAGCAACTCCATCTGTCTTTGCAACTTTAATAATACAGTCACCAAGACCCTGGAACTGTCGCTCAGCAGCACCTAATACAGAATAAATTTTCTATGAAGTAATATGCATGTGCTTATGCTTTACAAAACCCCTTCGTTTTAGTACAAACTCCTTTGCAAGACTGAAACATTCAATATAGCAAAATCGTAAGGAAAACATAGTAGATCATTCTGTTTACTCCACTTATGACCAACACACAAAGAAATCCAGATACAGGGATGGATGAGGACACAGTTTATTCATTCTCACGAGGACTACTCATTCCAGCAAAAAGAAACCCAAAGGAAAAGTCAAATTGATACTGGCATCCAGCTGCTGAAACACATTCAGGCCAAATAACTATCATTTCAATTTTGTCCTCATTCAGCAGAATACTTGTACGTGAATTCTCTTGCCCTCTCCTGAAAAGAAATACCTCTATACAATCCCATCCCTCCACTTCCTCCCCACATATTCTTACTAAAGTTTATGGTGAGTAGTATTCCTTTCCGCTTCAACCTGTGGACACTACCCACAAGTTCTGACAAATACAGAGAATCCATTTTTAAATCTGTAGATTTTACACCCCTTTCCACAGGTAAACCCAAGCCCTCAGGATTCTCTAAAGGTGAAAACACAGCAAGCAATACAGCAATCTTCAATCCTTCCCAAACTGTCAACCTTATTAGACCGAAGGTATCACGAAAAAAATAATTCAGCCAAGTACAGAGGACAGAAAGCGTGACAGCAACAGGACAAGTCAGGCAGCTGACTCCTGGGACAACCCTGCACGGCACAGAGAGTCGCAAGAGTTGACTTGCCCAGTTATGGGCAAATCAGAAAGGCCAAGGACAATAAGGAAGACATAGATTTCTTTTTCTCTGCTGTACTGCTTTCCAGACACTGTTTTAGGGAAATTCATTTTAACTGTTTGAATGAATGAAACGTACATCTAGAGCCATTCTACCCAAAATACTTGTTGAAAATTTTCAATTGATATTCTGTCAATAGAGGTCTGTCTCTAAAACGAGATAAATATAAATAACTAAAATGAGGCAAATATAAATAACCTGAGACACATCAGATAGATTGGAAATGTCATGTAAGAGATTTTGCTACCTTTCCCAATGTCAGCAGCTAACCGGGTTCGTGCAAAGTCTAACGGGTACACTACACACAAGGATGTTGCTCCTGCTGCTCCACCAGAAGCCAGGTTTGCCAAAAACCATCTCCAGAACTGAAATACAAAAATTACTGTGTACAGTTATGACAATACAGTATTACATAATTATACATAATTCTGTCACACAATACTGACCTCTGTGGTAGGTATCAAACGAAACTATTTCGAACACAAAGAATTAGATCTAAAACATCAGATTAGTTACAAATCAATACATAAAAAACGTCAGTTTCAGAGTAATGCATATAGCGGGGTATTTCAGAATTCCTATATGAAAAGACTTCCCGTCTATCCTTGCTTTTATTACAAAATATTTATCAACTCTTTTCTTGTTCAACTTCTGAATTATATGGTGCTTCTGTGACCCAGATAGCAGATAACAGAACATCCTCCTGATCTATAGTTGTCCGGCCCGGCACAACAATCAGCCTGTAGATCTCTCTGATGTAACAGCTGTGCACCAGCTCTCCATATGAATGGAAAAACAGAAAAATCTATATACTTACACCGCAGCCTATGCTGTTTACCAAATCGGAAAAAGCTAATGACAGAACAAGAGCCATTTTGAACAACATTTCAAGGTAGCGTAAGTTCTCATTAGCACAGGTACATCTATCTGCAGTAAACGCAGATGACATAGACGTGCACAAAATAGCTTTTCATTTGCTGGTTCAGCAACAGCAACAGTGTAGTTGTGGTAGTACAGAGTTCAGCACACGTTAACTGCCTTAATATTTTATCAGCTTTGCAGAACACTTTGCAACCTGCCCTAGCTCACGTCACTGCAGAAACCGTTGCGAGTTGTAATAGCAAGCGGAGGAGGGGACAGCTGCAGTTTGAAGACGCTCGGTTGTGCCTGTATTACCTTCAATATCAACAGTGTCTGCTACGTAGATATAATTTGTCTTCTTGAGCAGAAGCTACTTTGCTCTTTAAGTCCCCAAATCTAAAGGTTTTAATAATTTTTTTCTAAAGATAACCCAGCTACGCAAAGACTAATGCATATAGCAATACTCTAGTCTTGATTTCCCATCCTGTGCACAACATATCCCAAGCATCCCAAGACCCTGAGCTTCAACAACACATATGCTGCTTTGCTAAATATTGTATTTCTAAAGAAATTAATCTTGAGGGCTATTCATGGAACGTTTCTAAAATTTGAGTCATAAGCACATACACATGTAAGCCATCTGGAAACACTTCTAGGAGATGAAAAGGAGATCTGAAGAACTACAAACACTGTGTTACTTGCATCATGCATGTTCTACTTTTTCCACTGGAAGAAAAGAAAGAAACACTTTACATATGAATTAACTGTAATTGAAAAAGGACAGCTTAAGAATCTGCATGCAATAGAAGGAGATTAATCAAATATTAATGATTGACAGCATTTCTGCTGCTCCGCACCATCAGGAAAGCCTGCGGCACGAATAGTTTCTCGCGTTGCAGAAAAAAAAAGGATTGAGAAAGTACAGAACGTTGTTTTTTGTGTTTCAATTACAAAAAGCCTAACCGAAGAAATCCTAAAAAAATAATCTAAGACAGACACAAATAAAGCAGATTTTTCAGCTATTTTCATATGAAACTAATCAGATATGAAGAAGTTATTTTCCACTCTGCTGATCTCAATGAATTATTATATGTATGTAATTTGTCAAATGCCAATATCAACATTTCACATTCCAAGATGTGGCCTAGCCTTGAAATTATTTCCGTGGGTGTAGACCTAGGTATCTTTGCAGGAGTCCGTCCAAGTAAAGGAACGTTCCTCTTCCCAAGTACATAGAATTGCAATGCAAGGCAGCATAGAGAGTCAAATTTAGATAGCCTTTCATGCTATAAGCTAAAAGTGTTTCTTTTCTTTCTGATGCATTGTACAAAACTAAGTTATTAAAATGCTTCAACTATTCATAAATCTATTTGTAGCTTTACATGTAGCAAGAAATCAGATTTCAATCCACATTACTTCGCAACTATGGTACGCATCTTACTTAAATATAAGCTTTTTCTGGCACTTGCATACAAATAACTATGGAGAAAACTATGTGAAACAAAGCAAAAAGAAAAATAAAGACAGGCTCCTGCTTCAGGGACACAACCCAAGAACTGTACACATTAGAATTAAAGCAGCAGTAGTAATTTCACACAAGTAAAGCCGCACATGAACACAAACATCTTTGAGATTACAGTTTAAGGTAATGCAATCTTAACTGTGAAACTGCAATCGGGAGTTCTGACAAAGTCCAAAAACGTAGGTGCCTGAGTACAAGATTTTGAATACCCAGTCTCAATACACACCAGTTAACTCCAAAATAATTACATGTTCTGAACAAAGCTTTGAAAATCTTCACTGGTTTATTATAAGCAGTTATTTACATGTACCTCATAAAGTTATTAATCATTACAGTTTAAAAACCAGACTTCATTATTTTTCATTACCCTCAATAGTGAACTATGCAGTAAGCCATGCCTACTGTTCCTCTTATCATAAGATAAAGGTGACCTCTTAAAAAATCCTATCGATATTCAGCTGCTAATTACTAACCATCTTGAGAGAAGGCACAGTCAGGAACTGCACGGTTCTTGGCCAGATCACAAGTGGTTTACTTATCACATAGAACTAATAGGCAACAAATTATTTACCTGTTTCTCTTTATCCACTCTGGACATGAAAATCTGCTTGTATTTGTCCTTAAAAGCAAAGTTTAGAGCTTGTGTTGGAAAATACCGTATCACATTTGCCAAATTGCCACGCCAGAAGCTGAGAAAACCTACGGAAAAAGAAATGGACTATTAAAATTACTTTTGCAAAGTTTTTATTACATTCAGTATATTGCATGGAATTCTTCCTATCGTTCCGTTTTGGTATGAGTTGTAACAAAGGCAAAAAATGATCCCTTTCAGGTCTTTTATGTTTCACGCATTTGGCCCTGGAAATCTTTATTTTTCCTAATACTTACAAACAGATGTATGCACTACGTGTTCGCACAAGGAAATCTCCTAAAACTGCGAGAGAAACAGCAATAATGCTGAGAAAGGAGAACGGTTTTCAACCTCCTTGCCTCGTAAGTAAGACTAGGGATAATCTCTCTGCACACCCACCATAGCCTGGAAACTGACCACGGCCTCACTGAACTGTGTAGTAATTGCTTCACTCATGCAGCCTGCATATGCATTGTAGCTTCTACAGGGGGTGCTCGGGCTCCATATTAAAGCAAAGGCTAAACGATTTATACAAATGATCAAAAACTTACTAGGGTTTTTGTAATTACAGTCAAAAAACCAGTTCCCTTGGACACTAAGGTGAACACACTAAGAAGCTACGGGGCGCTGAGGTGCTAATGTAGGGACACATCTTACGTGGATCACAAGAAAAACTGATTTTGTATGTGAAAATGTTCACAGACATTGTGCCTGCACTGTGTCTAGCTCGGAGAGTGCTGTTAAGACTTTGCTGAGCAGTGATGGCAAACTGACCTCTGCAATATGTAGCCACACTCTTAGTTCAAACATACCTTATTTTTTGTGTTACTATGGATAAAGGTTAAGATTAAATCGAGGAATAAGAAAACAGAAAACTAGGTTTTCATTTTCTCGTATTTTGAGCATGCTTTTATATGCGTTTGCATGCAGATACCAAGTACACCCCTCTTCCAAAAAATTGTCAAAACGAAAAAAAAAGGATGTTTTTACGTTGTCCACAAATACCTCAGGGCGTGATTTTGCTACTACAGCACATGAACCTGCCTCCGCTTGTCAGCTGCGCACTTCTTCCCCCCTCCCCTTAGTTATAAAACGAACCGAGGTACGTTGGGGGCGAACGTGATTTTAGCGCCTACTTCTCACCCCCAAGTTAACAGGACTCCTCTGAACGCCAACTGCCCACGACGCGTGTAATGTTTTGAAGTTTAACCCCAGAGCGGGTAAGGGGCGGCCGGAAGGGGCTGGGGGGAAGGAGGGCGG